AAGCTTTATGTACGACTTCAGGCGATATTTCAATTGATCGGGATGTGGGCAACACAGAGCTGCTATTTTCTACAAAATATCTAGAGACTCGAAGTGTATATATACTGTCTACAGGGTTTGGAAACTTACTCAGGTTCGTGATAGGCTAGGATGCGAAAGAGTCCTTTCTATTTTTGCTTACCGGATTGGACTGGTGCTCCCATTATTATTGTTACTACTATTATTATTATTCCTATCCATTTGTTATATTTTATTATTCTTATCTTCCTCTCCCTATATCTTCGTTTTTCTGTGACACAATTATATTTTATCCCTCCTTTGTACCAGTTTAAATAAATGAATGTAAATAAAGGTACAGTGTAAATGCTAGCTCATGCCTGCAGTTTACCTTCAGAACCTTTTTAATGTTAAAAGTAGTTGACCCAGTAATTATAATCTTTATACTGTTCGATCATCTGCATAGATTACTTACACCTGTTACCTCTCATGTAGGAGCATAGGCCGCCCACCAGAATTCTCCATCCAACTCCGTCGTGGGAAATCCTTTCCACTTGCTATTCATCCATTTCATGTCTGCTTTTGATTCTCGACGCAGTGTGTTCTTTGGCATTCCTCTTTACCGTTTCCCTTCAGGATTCCAAGTTAACTCTTGCTTTGTGATGCAGTTTGATGATTTCCTTAATGTATGTCTTATTCACCCCAGCGTTTTTTTAATTTCCTGTTCAACTGGAAGCCAGTTTGTTCTCTTTCACAGTAGGCTGTTGCTGGTGGTATCCGACAAACGGACATTGAGTATCTTGCATAGACAATTGTTCATAAATAATTGTACTTTATGATTATGGTTGTTTTAGTTCTCCGCGTTTCAGCTCCGTACAGTAGAACTGTCTTGACGTTCGTATTAAAGATTCTTACGTTGATATTGGTTAATAGTTGTTTTGACTTCCATATGTTCTTCAAGTCTAGGGATGCTGTCTTTACTTTGCCAATCCTTGCCTTTCCGGTTGCATCGGATCCTCCCTGTTCATATACGATACTGTCCAGGTACGTGAAAGTTTCACCTGACAGGTTTACTCCTGTGATTTTTAGGGGTAGTGGTCCAGTATTAGCAGTGAGATTAACTGAGGTCTTAGGTAGGATTTGGGAACTGGACGTAATCCCATCTGACTGGTCTCAATCACTGATTGTGCCAGTCTATAAGAAAGGACAAAAGTCCTCTTGTGACAATCACAGAGGGATCAGTTTGACTAATATAGTGTCTAAAATATTAGCTTCAATAATACTTCGACGCCTAACTAAAGCTAGTGAAGAACAGACTAGAGAAAATCAGGCTGGTTTTCGACCTGGACGTGGTTGTATAGACCAGATATTCACACTATGTCAGGTTCTAGAACACAGACACACGTTTAGACGCTGCACAATGGTAATATTTCTCGACCTCAAGGTAGCATTTGACTCTGTTGATCGTGAAGTTCTGTGACAGTGTTTGTCACTGAAAGGAATACCAGGGAAGTACATTAACCTTGTAAAGGCTCTCTACTCGAACACAACTGATCGATTGAGAGCTTATGGCGAACTGTCATCAGAATTGATTACCTCAAGTGGTGTTCGTCAGGGTTGTCCACTCTCTCCATTCTTGTTTAATTTTGTTGTTGACGTGCTTTTAGAAATAACACTTTCCTCATCTAAATTTCCAGAGGTTGAACTTCTACCGGGAGATTCACTTGTTGACTTGAAATATGCCGATGACATAGTTTTGTTTGGCGAAGACGCTGTTAAAATGCAGAGTCTTCTGACCACTCTAAGCAACAATGCAAGCATGTTCGGGATGCGATTCTCTCCCTCGATATGCAAAATGTTGCTTCAGGATTGAGTTACATCGACACCCGAACTAGTGATAGCGAGTGAAGTAGTTGAGTGTGTCGAACGCTTCACTTATCTTGGAAGTCTCATCAGCCCTTGTGGTCTGGTGTGTGACGAAATCTCAGCACGGATAGAGAAGGCTTGACTAGCTTTCGCCAACTTGCGTCATTTATGGCATAGGCGAAATACCCGTCTACTAACCAAAGGACGAGTTTACTGCGCAGTGAAACATGGTCGGTAAGAGTAGAGGATGTTCGTAGGCTACTAGTGTTTGATCATAGGTGTCTTCGAAACATTGCTCGTATGTCCTGGGACCACCGGATAAGTAAAGAAGTTGTTAGGAAACGGGTACTAGGTAAGGATGGCAAGTCAATCGATGAAGTGATGAAACGTCATCAGTTGAGATGGCTGGAGCACGTGTTACGTATGTTCAACGACCGACCGCCTTGGTGTGCGATGTTCAGTGGTATAGGAGGAGATTGGAAGAAAGCTAGGGGCGGCCAGACCAAAACACGGCACAAGTCCATGAAGTCACTGACAAATGGACTGAGTAATGTTGGTAGGTGTAGACTACCTGGTTGGGGACAGCGAGATGATAGCAACCGATGGCTGGAGACCCTTAATGACATGGCTCAAAATCGTTTGCAATGGTGCAGGTGCATCCACTCTTTGTGCTCTCCCAGATTCTAATCTTCTGATTTCTTCATGTCCTTTTCTTTATTTTCCCAAATTTATTTCACTGGATTATACTCCTTGAATAACCCTAATCTTTCCGATTACTACTTATACTCTTACCACCTCTACCACAACCGGATTTGAATCGACAACTGCATCTCTGTGCTAATGTGGTATGGCAATTCGAACTGATGTACGTATGTACGAAGTTCTACGTTGTTACTGACTGACTGATCTCTACAACTGGTGTTCAGGCTTCTGAATAATCTCGAGTAAATCCGTATTTCGACTAGGAGATTAAGCCTACCTTAAATACTCAGTTTACGGAGATATTATTTATTGGAGTCAGATATTGAGGACATTAGCCTCAACATATAGGAAGCCGGCGTCACAACATATTGGTTAGCCGCCGTTTCAACAAATTGGTGAGCTCGATGTGATTCGAACACACAACCTTCTGACACCAGGAAAAAAACCCATTTGTTGAAACGGCTCAATGCTATACATACGCCGGCGAGGCCACGGGAAGCAGAATCAGGGCTCCCAGATACACGAAGCGTAAATCGAGTCGGTTCTTTATTTTGGCATGGTGAAGTCAAATAAATGACGCTACTCGGATCTTGTATGCGCGTTTCGGAGATGCAGCACACATCGATGGCGCGAGATTCTAAAGTCGTAGCTAAGGAAGCCTGCTGTCCTATTTGGCAGTGTTCGGACGTTAAAAGCTCCTACGTGTAGTTTAGAGCGTGGTTTCAGGAGACCAGGAATACAGTTCCACGTACTCGAATCGTTTGCCCTAGCGGTGCGAGGTGATAAAGAGACGTGAGGAGGGTTAGTCATGGAGATAAGAGAGGTATTAGGAGGTGTAGGAAGGATTTGAATGTGACCAACTTGGTCTCGTGTGCTGTTACGGGTATGAGGGCTGATGTCACTTCTCGGCTGCCCACACCGTGGAAGGGTATTTTCTTGAGGAACCTGAAAAGGAAATTGGATTAGTGTTGGTCTTGACGACCTGGGAGCGTGACCGCAGAGCCCAAGGGACAACTGCTTGAGGCCGGTCGCGCACGGTCTTTTTGTGGAAGGTATTTGACGTGTTAGCTCCGTTCTTCAAAGAGCCTTACCGCCGGAGACGGAAATCCGTGAGGTAAGGTGAGGTGTGACATTTTTAGGGTCGACCTTTTCTAACCCCACCCCTCCTTGTGGAAAGGCAGCATCGCTGTCGTGCTGGTTGTTTGAGGGAAACACCTTACTGCTGTCACACCTCTCTACAGTCAGCAGTACGACTTCGCCCTCAGACCTTGAGTTGCTGCTTTTAGTCTTAACGTTCTCCAATCGACCTGCCTGGCATGGTAGAACCTACAGGAACATATGTTCCAGTCAATATAGCTCGGTTGGGTCATCACGATAGGCAAGCCCGACCACCGCGTCAAGGTAGCAGCTTCGGTCGGGATAGCGATAATTTATTGTTAATGAATAACAAAAATCCGCCACCGTACAGCGAGCAAGCACACAATGAAGCCAAGTAAAAATGACACGCATGGAAGATGGCTGGGAAGCCAACTACCCTTTTAGTCAAGAGTTACTCCATATTTAAAGCTACAGACATGTGATTAACGCGATAAGAAGGGCACACACATATACGCTCATATAAAAACAGTCAAGGCTAATAAGCGAATAATTGACAAGGTCAAAATATGGCTCGAGTAGGATGAATAAAATAGGATGTCCGCAAGTTAGAATAAGGTACATGGGCTTGCCATAATAACTGACACTACATACCTCAACAGCATCATCGATGAACAAGGAGGATCTGATTCAGACGTAATGGTGAGGATTGTCATGGTAAGGGCTGTATTACTACATTTGAAAACCACATGGAACTAAATACAACTATTAACCAATATCAACGTAAGAATCTTTAATAAGAACGTCAAGACGGTTCTACTGTACGGAGCTGAAATGTGTAGAACTAAAACAACCATAATCAAAAAGTACAATTACTTATGAACAATTGTCTATGCAAGATACTCAATGTCTGTTTGTCGGATACCATCAGCAACAGCCTACTATGGGAGAGGACAAACCAACTTCCATCTGAACCGGAAATCAGGAAAACACGTTGGAAATGCATAGGACATACATTGAGGAAATAATCAAACTGTATCATGAGGCAAGCCTCAACTTGGAATCCTTAATTGAGAAGGAAAAGTGAAATACCAAGGAACATACTGCATCAGGAGTCGGAAGCAGACATAAAAAAGATGAATAGAAACTGGAAAGGATTTTCCATGACAGAGTTGAGTGGAGAATGTTGATAGACAGCCTATGTTCCACCACGAGAGGTAACAGGTGTAAGTAAGTACATTTGTTATTATTAATTCGTGGGATAGTTTGGAGAAAGAGAGATAGAGAGTAACAAGTTTTCTTTTCCTTACAACATTATTTTTTTCTTCCCAATCATATAGACATTATTGTTCATCCACCGAAATTGGATAGTCGTCATGCATTAAGTGGATGGTTATGTATGCAACATAATTTAGTGAATAAAAAGATTGGCAAACCGTTATTTGATTGTACTCATGTATTGGAAAGATGGCGATATGGTTGGAAAGATAATGATGATTGTAAATTACCAGAACAAGACTAGTAACATTTTCAATGACTTGTCTTTTAATATATATATTATGTGTGTGTGTGTTTGGTGATTGTTCAGATTTCCTTTCGATCTATATCCTCTTGTTCCTATGTTTGTTCAGTAGTATTTTTCATTATTACTAAGAAATAATGAGTAGTATGATAGTGTACACAAATAATTCATTTAGTATGAAAATATATGCATTGGACAGTTTGAATTGATATTTCAGTGATGTTTGTTTTTATTTTATATCAAAATTAGAAAAATATACCTGGTATTTGCCAATTTGCATCATTTGTAGTGTAGGCTGGGATATTTGTCTTTGATGAGTTCAATGTTTAGTAGTTAACTCACTTCTACGTGATGAATGTAAAACATGATTATTAAGATTAAAGGATATTTGTTGGTTACTAGTATTCGATCATTGGTGTCTTCGAAGCATCACTCGTTCATTTTAGGATCTTTAAGTAGACAGTCCTGAGGTTAGAGCTGTAGAGGTTAGTTCTCTCTCATTTGTTTCCAATAGATGATATGCTGTTAGCTTAGTATTTTAGCGGTCCGATTCTCCTAGTATTATTATGAACTTACTTGAGCATACTCAAAAGCCAAAGCACCAGCTGTTGCTAGAGTCTGTTGTCAATTATTAGTAAAATCCACAAGTACGAAAGAGGCAAACAGTGGACAGTGAGTGAGTGTATGTATGAGTTAAAAGTCGAAATGTAGTGTGTACTACTAATGTCTATCGAAATAAGTAGTATGTAACACCAACCGAAAGTTAAATGGCTGGCAGAAGGTTAAGAAGATCGAATTGAAGAAAACAGAAAGGAATTGTGAATTGGAAGATATTCTGTAATTTTGCATGAAATAATAAATTGGTTCTCCGCATCTGAATTCTCGTTCATTAGAGAAATATCATTGTACATTTTATAAGTGTTAATCAATTGTAAGTTATTGGTTGTCTTTATTTACAACTGATGGGCGACCAGATAAAGATTGAGATGCAGAGATGCGTTTAATCAAACCCACACTTTCTTTTGCATAGTGGGTCAATTGTTTAAATTACAGCTTATAATAAAAAAATTCAATGGACTTACTTTATGGGTATGGTATCGATTAACGATGTAAAATCAATTGATAAGGTAGTAAATCTTCTCCTGAAATGGTTGGGACAGTCAGTCAGTAACAAGATAGAACTTTGTACGTACGTACATCAGTTCGAGTTGCCATACCACATTAGCACAAGAATGCAGTTGTCGATTCAAATCCCATCGTGGTAGGGGTATTAAGAGTATAAGCAGTTTTCGGAAAGATTAGGCTTTGAAGATATTATTCAACGAGTATAATCCAGTGAAATAAATTTGGAAAGAGAAGAAGGGGGACATGAAGAATTGAAAAGATTAGGATTAGGGAGAACAAAGAGTAGATGCACCTGCGCCATTGGGACATGTATCACATATTTCTAAAAACCACTTAACTTGATTGATGATGTCTGGTTTAAGAGTAGGTTAGGGATCGCAAAACCAAGATTTAGCACTAGTTCCATGAGGTCAGTGACGAGCTGAACTATGTAGGTAGACATGGATTACTGGGTTAAGGTGTCCGGCGTAATATGTTTTAACAGTACATTAAAGTGAACAGTATTGTTTCCAATTAGTTTTTTTTCTTTGTGTTGCCAGACTTTACTCCGATAAACACTAATATGAAACTAATCTTGGCAATTTGTGAGCCAATAACTATTATATAACTAGTATTATGGTATGTATACTAGTAGTGATAGAAATAATACCATCTTGAATAAATATTTCAATTTGGGAAGCAGATTTCAGAATATGGGTAAAAACACACTTTAAAATAATAATCAGGAATCGTTAAAATTACGTAACAGGATGTGCTTAAATAATCAGTACAAAAAGATAATGGAAAGGTGGTTCGAAAGTAATGAAACGTTAGTGAAGTTTATTATTCCAAGACGCGCATGTTGTCCTATTTGGTGCTGGTCAAATGGATATACCTGCATCTCACAATTGATGATCACTCTGGGACTCGAGCCCATTACCGTTTGCAGGTGGTTATCAAGACTCAGTAGCTAAGTAGATAACACGGTGTTTGAAGCGAATGGGACTAGGTCCGAGTCTCGGAGTGAATATGCCGGTGACGAGTCCCAAATAGGGCGAAACGCGCGTCCTCGATTCTACTGCTAACCAATATCCATCTTTGCTTAGGATTTGATGATGGGTTATGAATCATGATTAAAATGAAACGCGTGTCCTGGATTCCACTGTTAACCATCATTCAACTCGGCTTAAAATACTAACACGATAAAAACTGCACAAATCGTATATTACATAAATACAGCCAAAGTAATCAGTAAAATAAGTTATAAAAATAATGTTTAGAATAAAAACAAAAAGGATGGAATCCAGGAGGAAGTTATTGAGATTAGAAACGAAACTTTTGGTACAGATTCATTCTAGTCTAGGTTATTATACTAAGTTAAGACGAAATGAAAATAACAAAAAAAAACAGATTACACTAATGTAGTAGTGATAGAAAAGAAAAACTAAATTATGGGAATATAATTTGAAAAGACACTGGAAATGTATATATATATAAAAGGATTCTAGGATTCAAGATAAAAAGAAAGTAAAGAGTGTATGCATCTGAGCCACTTTGAATGATTCATAACCATGTCAACGAAACTCTCTGACAACCAAATGTGATTAACACGCGAACCATGATTTAATTTAAAACAAAAATTTATTGAATATTGTAAGGCAAACATATATTAAAGAAGTATTATTATTTATTTGAACTCAAATATTGGTGCAAAGGAGCATCGAATACATGAATGCCACACAAGTCACTTGATTTGTGTGTGGGCTATGATACTGCCCGGATGCCCAAACTGAAGCAGATGGTTTCTGAAGGGGCCACTCCTCAAGCCTTTGACCTAAAAATCATCCACAAGGTAGTGGGGTGACTCCAAGAGGTACAGTCCCATGTTGGACGGTGACCGACGATTGGTTCATACACCATTTGTTCTTTTAGGATCCTGGAACCCTTGTGCACTATTTGTTTGGAATCAGGGTCTCCCAACTGCACTAAATGGATCCTCCACATTCACCAACCTGGTTAAAGCGCCAGACATTCGCTTTTCATCCTGTTAGTTTCATAGAAAACACCTGTGCCCATGAGATGGCAGTAAGTTGGAGTTCGCTGGTAGTGGCTGTATATGCGTGGCCATATCAGAGCATTTGGGGGCATGATTATTATTATTATTATTATTATTATTATTATTATTATTATTATTATTATTATTATTATTATTATTATTATTATTCGTGGCTCTTATTAAATGTTTTACATTCTCTATCCTGATTCGCTTCCCCTCGACTCTTTTGTGTATTTTGTTTTATGCTACTTATTAATGTTCAGTAAATAGTTGTGTTCTTAGCAATTTTTAATCACATGTTCACAATTTTGTGCAGTTGTTTAACTATTGTTTAAACGCAACGGTTTCCATAGTGTTTGCTCTTGGTCCAGTTTTTGTTGGTCAATAAACTAACAGCTCTCTTCTGAACTATCGTATGTTGTAGTTATTCTTTATATTACTATTAAAAGGAAGCCTATTTTATTTCAGACAATAAAACGCGGTAAACGCCATAGATACCTTACAAGTTTAAGTTTGTAACATATTTTTGTATATTCTTCAATAAAGAACAATTGTTACTTTGTAAACATCTATTTTACATGTATCTCATTTGTGTGATTTAGACGCTTCAATAGACTTAATAGTTCTATTGAACAGTATATGTTTAGTATAATATAGAGTATTGGATATGAAGTATTTTAACAAGTTTCTTTGTCTAAACAAAAGAAAGAAAGAAAGAAAATCGATAATTGCACACTTATTTATGCGTAAATTAAGTAGATAAAATACACTAGGAATTTCAATGAAATGTCTTTTTTCCTTTAAAGAAGATTTCAGTCCTTACATTTTTTTAAATTAGAAATATTTTCAAGAATACAAAATACTGACTATGTCAATTCTAACAATCTTTCGCACCCAAAAGCCCTGGTACGGCCGAGAATGGGGAGAGTCTGCTCTCCCTTTCGAAAAGCTCTCACATGGCCACGCGTAAATAGCCTCTGCCAGGGAAGTCGTACTCACTGCCTTCTCGTGGCGGGGGTGTTGTTTGTAAAATCGAGAGAACGAAAAGCGAATGTCCGGCGCTTTAACCGGGTTGATGGACATAGAGAGTCTACCTAGGGGAGTTACGAAACTTTGATTATAAACCAATGGTGCACATAGGATACAGTATCCTAAAGGAACAAATAGCATATGAACCAATCGTTGACCACCGGCTACCATGGGAATGCATCTCCTTACGTTGTTCCACTGCCTTGTGGATCAGACCCTCAGGTCGAAGGCTCCGGGTGTGGTCCCTTAAGAAAATCACCTGTTTCGGTTTGGGTACCTGGTCAGTATCACAGTCCTCATACATATCAAATAAGATCTATGTGGCGCATATGTATTTGGTGCCTCCTTGTATCAATATCTGTGTGTTAAAATAAAAATAAAATATTCGTCATATAGTGCAATTCCAGAACACCGGGGTTTATTATACAAAAAGCGACTTGAAAAGCTGAACCTCTTTACTCTTCTCTAATACAGATTAAGAGGTGATCTCCTTTTTATGTACAAAATGATTTTGGAACTAATGTACTCTGTCATTTTCTGCCCATTAAATTGGGACATTTTAGAGGATATAGCAGGTGAGTAGAATAGCCAAGAATAAACAAAATACCCATGAAATACAGGTTTTCACATCGAATCATCAATTATTGGAACCTGTTATCCGAAGCAGTAATGTTCACATCTTCAACTGACTTATTCAACAGAAGACTACTAGAAAAGAAATAACATAAACCGTAGGCTTTCTGTCCTTGGTACACAAATCTGAAATCTAGTATAATTGCTAGATCAGATGTTGTAGAGCTCTGATATATTTGCTTGCGTGTGTGGATTCTAATGTATTGACGCTTCGTTTTACCAGAATATATAAAAGAAGAAAGATGTGTATGAAATGGATGATTAAGATTTGATATAGTCACACTTGACATGAGTTTTCAACAGTTTAAATGTCTATCTGTAACCATTTTAATAATAGCCTCAAAACGTTCACCACTAAATGCCTTCAGCATTTTCCCAAACACAGCAAAATCTTTTTTCCAAAAGCCCAGGAAAGAATAATGGAGGAATATGCAAGAATTAACAAATCATA